ACACACACACACACACACACACACACACACACACACACACACACACACACACACCAATAGCGCAGAGGCTGAGGAAAATGAGAGCGGAGAATTGAGCTGCTCATTTTTCCGCAACCTGGCAGGGCAGAGGAAATGAGACGAGGCGGCCTCAGATGACAGCCTTTTGGAGGTGTCGCTTCTTGGGCCGAGTCCAAGTGCATCTATAACAAAGCCTGTGGTAACGTGGTTGCCACCGCAGCGCCAGCTGCCTGGAAACCGGGTCCTGCCCCTTTAAGTTGCCAGAGGGTGGGATGGAGGCAAAGAAATCCCTTCCACCCCAACCTCTGGCCAGTTCCTCCGGTGCTCCTGCGAGTCGCTGGGTCCTGGAGCCGTCGCCCTTTCCTTTTCCTCCTTTCGCGTGCTCACTCCCCACCCCATGCAGGTGGCGGAGGGGAAGGAGTCTCTGGTGGCTGTAGTAGCAGCAGCAGCAGCAGCAGAAGTGGTGGCGGCGGCTGCAGTGCAAATCTGGGCAGGCGGCTCTGGCTCTCCCTTCCTGAGCATGTCCCATTGTTGCTGGCACCGCTTTTGGTGAATCCGGCTGGGTGGCAGGGATCTTGCCATTGCTGCTGCTGCTGCTGCCACCGCCGGCACCACCACCACCAGAGAGCTCGCCATTCCGAGCCGTGCTCATGAGTATGGCTGGCCCGGGGCGGCGTCATGCACTTTAAAAACCATTCCCTTGAATATCGTTATTCATTCGCAAGATCATATTAAGAATATTATGCGATAACATGAACATTTACATGGAACAAATATACTACTGATCATGCTCTCTAGATGCATTATAACTCAAATAGAAACTACACAATAAAGTTAAGGAGCTAGGAGCAAAAATAGTGTTCTCATGTATACTCCCAACAAAAGGTCAGCACTCATTGAGAGAAAAAAGAATTCTAGAAATAAACCATTGGCTAAAGGGTTGGTGTCATCAAGAACTCTTTGGCATTACCTACATGAAGGACTCTTGACAAGAGATCGACTACACTTCACAAAAACTAAGAAATTCAAGAAGAAACCAGCACAGCTGCACAAAGATCTCTCTGACAGACTGAAAGACAAAAAAATAAATACAAAAAAATGGAAAGAGGGTTGAAACCAGAAGTGTCATACCAAGACCAGTTGGAAATTAGCGATCTCCGAGAGGGCATCATGAAATCCAACCAGACAAACCTCTGTTGGAGGGGCGAGTCTGCAGACTGGAACCATCCTGAAAGGATGGGGAAGAAGGAGAGGTGCCTCAGATGACAAAAAGAACCAGCAAATTCCTCTGTAGGTCAGAGGAAATTTATCTGAATCAACAGTGGGGTTAGCGGCCATACCCAATGACTGCTTTCAAGCTGGGGTAACTGGACTAAGTTTTTTTTACCTGGAGTGGTGTTTGAATAAAGTATTGGAAGCGGGTAACTGATTGTTAACTCAAAGGTAAAAGAATTTTTAAATTTGCATTTAATAAGGATCCCGATGTGGAATTAGTGGCTATTTGGCACTTGGGAAATTTCATGGAGGAAAAAAGTTGAAGTGGAGTCTAAACCACTAAAAGCCTTGGAAGACCTATATTGTATTTAGATCTGAAAATACTAAAATTGACAAAAAGAAAGAATTCAGGGGTAAAGTTCCTTTTTTAAAATTCTTTTTTGGAATAAAAGTGCTTTTTGACATTTATTGACAATGCATCAGAGTGCACAATGGAGAGAGGCCATCTGCTGGTAAGAAGACACAATTACAATACTTAGGGACAGATGAAAGAGAAAGTACAGCTGGATAATTTGACCTTGGCTGCAGAGAAAGATACATTTTAGCGGTGAGAATTTTTAAGAAGTTTTGTTTTCACAACAGTTTTGGCTTTGACTGCTTAGAGCTGTGGAAGAAAATTAATCCCCAGTTTGGACTGGACTAACATTAAAATTGGATTTTGGAATTTGGACATTAAAGGAGGGAAAACTATTGCATGGACTTTAATTAAATGTGATACAATTTTTAAAAAAATCTTTTTAAAATGTTAAATTAGTTAAATTGAAATTATGGAGCTCTGGGTGTATGATGAACTGTTGGGATCCATTACCAGGATGTGTATAGGGCAGCTTTAGTTGCCTGAAAAAACAGACACGAGATGGAGAAACACAGAATCAGGAGATGTGCAANAATGGGCGGGCGGGCTCAGCAGTGTCGCTGCACCGGCAGAGTCAGCCTGAGGGACGAGAGGCAGCTGAGCCTCAGCCGTCCGAGCAGCCTCGCTTTGCCGTCCACCCGCCCGTCGCCTCCAGTCCTCCCTCACCCTCTCCGCCCGCCGGGATGGAGCTGGAAGCCTCGCTGGAGCAGTTGGTGCCCAGGGGCATGGCTTTAAAGTGGCGGCAGGGCCCTGGCGGCAGGACTTTAAAGTCCCAGCGCCGTCCGCCATAAAGCAGGTCCTGGTCCCGTTCTATGGCAGACGCTGCGCCAGGACTTCAGCGGTGCTTTCGCGCTTGTCTCACCGATCATGAAGCTCACTGCATGTCATTGATTTTACTGGTTCTCCAAACTGCCCATAATTCACCCCTGCCGGAAGTTCTCAGCTGACTGGCAGCCAACAGAGGCCCAAGCAGAATTGTGCCCAGCGAGAGGGCCACCTTCAGCATCCTCTGCCACCTCCCTTGCTTCTTAGCACTCCCTTGCTGCCCCCTTTGCCTCTTAGTGCCCCCCTAAGTCATCCCAGGGAGCGGTACTGCCCACTTTGAGAATCACTGCTCTGAATCAATCAAATAAGTAAACAAGCACAGGAAGATGTAGGACACTCAGAAAGAATTTTTAAAAATAATTTAAGGATTAATTAAATAATAATAGTAGTTAAAAATAGTTCTGGCAGATTTTGAATCAGCAATCTTTGACTTAGTGCCTTCATTTTATTCCTTGTCTTGTATTTAAAAGTTATTGGGATCTAAAAGGTATTAGAATCAGTCATCAGTACTGGCATAGTTGAAGCTGCATTCCATCTCCTGTGATATAGCTGATATAGCTCAGAGCTTGTCAGAAAATAAAGTGCTCAAGGCAAAACCAATCAGGGCATTTGAGGCAACCTGAGAGGAAAAGTTTATGTACTTTCACACTGCAGCAGAAAAACGCAGAGGAAAATCAAATTTGCAACAGAAGGTCAGTAAAGGCAGATGTGTCTGTTTCTACCCACAAAACATGATTGGGATAAGACAAGGCAGTTTGAGATGTTATCTGCCAAAGTAAACTAATAATCTTTATGATTGAATTTGGGTCCATCAACCAAATCATACTATCAACCTGAAATAAATTATTCTAGTTAAGCAACTTATTATTCTGTAGTCTTTATTACAAATTGCTTAACTAGTATAAGGAAAGAGAAACACCGAGAAGCCACTGGGACAAGGCATGATGATGGTGCGAAGACCAACCTGTAAACAAGCTAAATATGGATCTGGTAAATGAAAGTAGCCTAGAGCAGTGATAGCCAAGCTATTGCACACATACCAGAGGTGGCACGCAGCGTCATTTTACCTAAACTCATCTTCTCAAGAAATGTTGTTCATTGAAAATTTGAGGAGGGGGTTTCTTTTCTTTTTTTCCAGACCTACCAAAACAGCCCAGAAGTCCTAATTTTATTCCTCCCCACGTTGACCCATATCTTATCTGCCGGCCAGGATCATTTGAACCCATCCCTTACTTTTAAAGTCCTTTAAAAACAAATTGGTGTGAACATATATTATTGTCTGTGGAAGCCTCTGGAATATTGGGTAAATGTTTCTCAAACTTTATTCCCCTAATTTTTTTTTCATACATAAAGGTTCTCATGAAGAGAATAAAGGGAACAGAAACCAGAAATTAACACCACCATTCTATTTATTCAAAAGTAAGATTCTCTGAATCTAATAGCAATCACTTCAAGGTCTGAACAGAAAATTCCTCAGGTTGGGTAATTTCCCAGAATTGTTTCTTCTTGTTCTTACTCAGATTATTTGATGGTGTAATCTGTACTAATTTTTAATGGATTCTTTTTGTCCCAAGTCAGGAAGAAGGGGAACATTTTCTCAGAAAATGGATAGTTGAAAGTAAAGATAATCTCCATAGAGTCCACGTCATAGAAGGATAATTTGCCCAAATTGAATTCTAAGGTAACGAGAATCCGTTGTACTGTCTTCCACAGCGGAAGAATGGTTTTAGGTGCGGTGGTGACCTCATATTCTCCATCGATCAGCTGCAATACCCAAAACCCTTCAGTAGCACTTATATGTAAATATCCTTTTCTTTTTATGGATTCACGCACCGCACCAATGGCCCATTGTTTGGCCCTGCCCACTTCAACCACCCACTGTGAAGTCCCAGAATTGATGCCTTCTGTTCCTAGGACGCAAGGGAAAAAATTAAAGCGTTCCAGATTGTCAGGAAAGTCCTGGGCTCGTTCACCCAGGTATACGCTTTTCCGATCTTCTGAAAGGATGAGGGTGGGAAAAGCTGTCTTGGGATCCAGCATCACCTCCACTAAAGAGAAGAGATGAAGAAAAGGTTGAAATGAAAAGAGTATTACCATATTTTTCAGAGTATAAGAGGCACCGTTTTCCCTCAAAAAAGAGGCTAAAAATCTGGGTGCATCTTATACACTGAATACAGCATTTGTTTTGCCTCCTAACCCCCCCCCCTTCACAAAAATGGTGGTGCATAGCCTTTAAGAGGCTTTCAGAGTGCTCCTGGGGGATGGGAAGGGTAGAAATGAGTGAAAAACGGGCCATTTTGATTGAAGTCTTGTGTTTGGAAAATACTTTAACGCATCTGCGGACAACTAACCTTTATTTTGAGGTTCCGAAAGCATCTCGTCTGATTCTGCAGACTGAAGAAAATCTGTTGGAAAAGCTAATTGGCTGTCCCTTTTTTTCCTTTGGTCATAATCACGTGAACAATCTTCACAAGAGCAAAAACATTAAATTGATTCAATTAAGATCAGGTTGTTTTTCAGCTAGAACTGAACCATATTTAGCTAAAATACGGAGTGACCAGTTTTCCCAACCAGTTGCCCTTTGGATATATTGGATCATAGTTCCCAACATTTCCAGTCAACACAATAGAAGGACAGCAAGTTGGGGTGCACTGCTGAGCAATTTTCCACACAGAAGAACTATACTAACTCATCACACTACACAGGCAGCAGGGACTTTCAAGGTTTACCAACCTGGCCATTTTGCAAAGAAAGCTGCTATGTAGACATCTTCTGATGTTTGCTAAACCCCAGTCAGCTGTTTTCAGTAAAAATGGGCCCATTAAGAACATGGACAAGAGTAGACAAGAGTCTAAAGCACATCTACAGCAATTTACTGGGATGTAAAATTCAGGGCTTTAAAAAAAAAAACCAATCATGATAATTGCTTGAAAAAACAGGGAACATTACTTTCCCAGAATGTTTTTTTCCCCCAATTATTTGCATTTCTCCCCAAATGTGCTCATTTTCTCCAGTGTTCCATTCCTGCAGTTTCTTGTTTTTCCTAGGATTATTTTTTCTCCCAGGCCCTCATTGTTATCTGGGTCATCTGAAAATATGGAGCTCTTTTATTCCTAAATAGAAAAGATGTGTCCTAATTTTACATCTTTCTCCCTATTCATTTACCTATTTCCTATACTTTGAAACCTCCTGGGTAAAGACTCTAAAAGAGAGTGTCACCAGAAAGCCTTCTTATCTTTAGAGTAAGGAGCAAATCTGATTCTATCTATAGATTACCTATAGGGAATTAGAATCACCCTTGAGCTACCAGTACACAATTGGGCTTTGTTTACATACATTCTGGCATCTCCTTTCGGATTCTTGTAGCAAGATTCTTTTTGTTTATTCTATCCAGAATGCTGACGGTCATCTTCAGGGCCTTGGCATCGTCAAATGCCTCAATCATGTATCGGGCTATTTCAATGTGAGCAGCTTTCTCAGTCTTGCAACGACGGATGGGCTTGTAGCCCTTATCTACTGGGTAGTCCTCCAGGTGCAACTTAAATTTCTCAAATTCGTCTTCACACAATTCTTCAAAATATTCAACCAGCTTGCAGCGCGGAGTGTGTGACATTGTGCCCCTCAGTCAGATGTACCTGGGAGAAAGAAAATGTAAAGGCTGCAATAAAAAGACTCTAGACAAATGAGATTAAAGGATAAAAGTTCATGTGGTCCATTAATTAAGGTGACTTTAAGTGTTCAAAAATGCACAAGGGTAATTTTCAAATGATAAAGAATATACAGCTGCAATGAATACTACAAAAACATCCTCTTTAACCAAGGTAGAAGATGGTCATTAAGATGTTACTTCCCAGGAAGGACAGCTAAACAAGAAGAAACCTATCCTCTGAAAAATCTCAGAAAACCTCTTTCTCTTTCTTAGTCAGAAAGACCATTTTCTCTTGTAATTCAGTGCTTCTCAATGTGTNACAGACACGAGATGGAGAAACACAGAATCAGGAGATGTGCAAAACATTCCTTTTAGCAATATATAAAGCTTTCCTTTTAATTAACGTGCTCCTCTGTACCAGCCTCTAGCATCTGGCATGGTAGAGGGATAGAGAGAGAGAAATAGAGATAGAGAGAAATACAGTAGATAGGTAGGTGTTTCTGCTGGCACAACACTTGATCAATGTAATTTTCATCAAAGCTAAAGAGCTTTCCAAAAAGAAAAAAAAGTTTTTGCACTCTGCAAACCCCAAAATGGCCCTTTTTCATGTGAACGGGGCCATTTTTTTCAAAAAATGGGCATGAGTAGCCTTGGGGGGGGGCTTACAGAGTGCTTCTGGAGGTGGGGGGCCAAAAACAAGCAAAACTTTTTCCATGAAAACAGGCCCGTTTTTTGTCAAAAAATTTGCATGCATAGCCTTATGGATGTTTATAGAGTACTGCTGGGGGGGCAAAAATGGTGCATTTTTTGCTCATTTCTTCCCTCCCCAGCCCTCAGGAGCACGCTGAAAGCCTCCATAAGGTTATGCACGACCATTTGGTGAAGGGGAAGGGTTTGGGGGGGCAAAAAATGCTGTATTCGGTGTATAAGATGGAACCAGATTTTCAGCCTCTTTTTTGAGGAAAAAAGGTGCGTCTTATACTCTGAAAAATACAGTATATAGTAATATTTTTTAAGTACTCATACTTCCTCTATATGCTTGCAGATAAGCCCATCTGCGGATAAGCAGACTCTCAAATATTTAATCAAAATATCATACAGAGCAGCATTTTCATAGTATTTTGGTTAAAAATGTGCAGATAGGTTTATATGTTGCAGATGTACGGTATGTGATCATAATAGCGAACCTATGGCATGCATGCCATAGATGGCACACAAAGCCATTTGTTAGGGCACGCGAGGCATTGCCCTGTCAACTCCAGCGCACATGTGTGCCCTTGCCAGCTGACTTCGGCCTTCATTTTTGAACATTTTTGGCCCTCTGGAGGTTTCCCTGAAGCCTCCGGAGGGCAAAAAATAACGCAACGTGCAAACTGGAATTTTGGGAACAGACTTCTGGTTTCCACGTTGGACCGTTTTCTGTTCCTGAACTTCGGGCTTGCCCATAGGGCCATTTTGGGCTCTCCAGAAGCTTCAGGGAAGCCTCCTGAAGGGCAGAGAATGCTGTTTTCACTCTTCCCAGGCTCCTAGAAAGCCTCTGGAAACTGAGGTGGGTGAAAAATGGGTCCATCACGTGCCAAAAGCAGGGTGGAGGGCGGGAGTCATGCATGTATGTGCCCCAGTGGTCGCGCACAAAGAATTTTGGGGGATGGGCACGTCTGTGCACGACCCCTCCTGCACTCCCCCTTGCTTTTGGCACGCAATGGAAAAAAGGTTAGGCATCACTGGTATATGAGGTTGACTACATACATCTGCTTCTAGTGTAATTGTTGATATTTAAAAAAACTTTATAGCACCAGTTACATATATCTGGCCTTCTTTTTCTTTTTCCTATTTTTTAATCATTGCCTCTGATGTTCACTGCCAGACTGAGGCAGGAGGGGGTGCACAGGTGAACCCACCAGTGGCTGGCCAGGTTAGGTGATTTTAATAGACTGGACCTTATAAATTTATATTAGTGCATTAGTGCACTTGACTTCTGACTTCTAACTTCCTCATAAGTATTAAAAATATTGCTGGAACAGTGTGACAAGACGCTGTGGAGGGGCACAGGAAGCCAAGCGCTGGTGTAAGATAGAACAGAAGTGAAACAGCTGATAGCTTAAGACATTATAAGAACTTCTCTTTTTGTATTTTTCCTATGTACTTCTCTGTTTGTAACATTCCAAAATGAACTTCTCCTTTTCGAAATGTCATGTTTGTCTCATGTATGGAAACGCCTTGAGAATGCACCGTGTGGAACACGGCATAAAAGTAGCATCCTGGGCAGAGCACAGGCAGTTCAGATTTTGGTGTGCGAACACGCTGAACTCGATGCATCATTAAAGCTGTTTCTCTTGCACCTTCGTGGTCTCGAGTCCTGGTCTTTCGTAAGTAGATTGCTAAACAAAACCTCAATCTGCTGCTACAAGACAACACAGCAAGAATATTATACCTGACAGAAATTGGAATGTAAGATTCTATTTTCCACCATAACATACTAACCTTATTTATGGAAATAAACCTTGTAAGAATCCTCAAAATAAGTGGTAGATAATTCTTGTTCAAACCTCAATTTTTCCAAGACTTCTTCCTGAGGTGTGTTTACTAAATTTATAAATTGCACCTAATTATACTAATTCTTCATTAAGTAATTAGATCACATAAAAGTTTAAGAACAAATCAGTTTTTGACAGCTATCAAAAGCAAAGCAAAGAGAGGCCCTTCGGCGTAAAGGGTTTCCAAATTCAAGAACAGCTGCTACTTTGCAAGTTAAGTAAGACTGGTTAAAATTCTTATAGGTAAACTATAGCTACTTTAAAGAACAAATGTATCTAAGGTTTGGACTAGCTTAATTTTCCAAGATTAACAGAAATCTAAATTTGTTATTATAACATTTTGTGTTTTTTTAAAGGTATTATGAACCTAACGATCTTCATGGATGCAGAGCTGTGTTAAATCTAACAACATGTGGACACCAGTTATTTCAACGTGATGATCTTACCAAGGAATGTTTTATTTAAAGAACAAAAATATATTTTCACATTTGGAAATCTGAACAATTTCCACTTTTGTAAATAGCTCTTGCTTTCACTGTTTGTAATCTTCATTTGAATTATAGATAATATTTTCACTTTTAGATAAGTCTTCTAATTCTGCCTAAAGCCTTTTGCCTATTACAAGTAGTCCTTGTTTCAAAACCATCCATTTAGTGCCCATTCAAAGGTACTGGCACTGAAGGAAATGTCTTATAACCAGTCCTTGTATTTGCAACCATCCTAGGATTCCCACAATCACAGGATCAAATTCATGCAGTGGGAAATGGCAGGACATGTTGTTTACAATAGTTGCAGCACTTGGAGTCATGGGATTTGCAATCTTCCCCGTCGCCTTTCAGCAAGCAAAGTCAACAGGGGAAGCCTTAAAAATGCAATAATTCATTAAACAATTGTGGCCAAAAAAAAGTCATAAAATTGAGCACAACTCACTGAACAATCACCTTGCTTAGCAATTCTGGAAATTCCAGTCTCAGTTGTGGTCAGAAATGAGAACTGCTTTGAGTTAGTTCATCGGCTTATTGAAATTTGGATTTTTTTAAAAAATTGGGAGTTATTTTTTCTCTCAGGTGAAGTGGCAGAATTACTCTGAATCAGTGGTTCCCAAACTTTTTCTGTCCACCGCCCCCTTGGTGCTACCAACTGATCCTCAGTGCTCCCCCACCCAGTGGTAGAATTTAATTTTTTTTACAACCGGTGCTATAGGCGTGGCTTGGTGGGTGTGGCTGGGGGGGTCATGTGACTGGGTGGTTTGCATGACAGATGGAAGATAGTAACAGTAAAATTCAAAACTG